GATCTTTAAGCTGTTGTTGTTTGTTATTAAGCACAAAGCTACACAAAGGGCTATCTGTGCTCTGTCCACCACAGGTATCAAAACCTAGTTTCTACCAGTATAAGTCCACAGACATACTGCTATGCCACTGCGGAATTGACCGTTCAGCCATGCCTGCTTAACATTATGAAAGTTGCAATGACATGGCAATGTACACTCATGTTACCATATCCATGAATATAAAACTGGCCTTTACAAAGTGACCTGTCTTGGCTGTGTTTTAGTGGACTAGTATTTTGTAAAATACAGTCACATTTCATTTATAATATATTATTACTATTTACAAATAAGTTATTAAATTTCACTTATTTTTCTTAAAACATAGAACAGTAAATAAAGAAGTATAGCACACAATTATCTCTTCTAGTTATGAACTTTGTACTCATTTGCTGCTTGGCATAGGTTGCTAAGCCTCGTCAAATTTTGCACATGGAGGATGTGAAACAACATAATTTTTGTTAGGTTTTATATATACATTTTGAAATAACCAAAATCATAAATACCATAGAATCTCACTATAATTTATAAAGTTTAGTGACTAAGCTGTATTTGAGTCTAAAAAAATATAAAATTTCGAGCCCACTACTTTAATGGAGCTGCTATGATGGGATGGAAGACAGAGGTGGCTGCACACCTAAAGGAGCGAGTACCAAACACAGTTAAAAACGTACCTTATTTAGATACACTGGAAGAAACAACTAAATCAGATTTAAACTGTATTACTATTTTACTAAAAGAAACTGATGGAAATAGGGGAATTTGTTGATGTAAAGCTTGCTCATATCAGTGGACTTAAAAACACCAGGTGGAAACCAAGCATATTTAGGAGTCTGAAAGTGATTTAGAAAAACACTATTATTCATGTGGAAATTCTTGCTAGTAGTCAAGGTACCAGATCAGATGCTGATACATTAACATCAAAACAGCTTATCATTGGGTGAAGAGTACATCAAACCTACCTTGGCTCAAAATTACACTTGAATATTATCAGAAATCCCTACATAAGGTAAATATATGCTCATATTATTAAACTAATGCTAATGTTTTATTTAAAATAATAATCATTGCATTAGGTGTACTTACATACAATGGTGGAATTAGGCTACAACATGTTGTCATTATTATTTTTATTAGTAGAAAGTTATATGTGAAAAAGTAAAGCATATACAGTGTGTACTGTGTGTGCACACCACATTCATACACAGTTTGACTGAAAGATATTTAAATAAAAGCTATTTGCTGTGATATAGATGATGTGATGTTAATGAGAAATTGGTATAACATAAAATTTTAGATAATAACCCATATTTTAATAACATACATGTTTTAAGTTCTTAGTTTTATAAAGCAATATTTAAACAAATCCAGAATTTCTCACAGTGCGACTCATGTGACCATTTTCTCTACTTATCTTCTCATTTTTATTTTATCCACACACACCCCCAAGAAACTAGGAAATTAAACATAAATTACTCACCATAAAATCATCATTGCTCATACAAACCATAATTTCTATAGCCTTCAATTCTGTTTGGTTACAGAGCTATCAAATAGAAAATCAGACCCCTCTTGCTGTACCCACCTGTCACATCCTCTCTTATGTTTAATTATATATCACTTATAACCAATAAGTTTTCATCTATCAAATGATGTATTGTATTACATTGTGTTCTGAACAGATAAGCATCAATTTCACCACGAGTACAACCCTCTTTCCCCATGGGAAACTTAACAACTAGCTTGGATGACTTTGTAACAGCTCTTGTTGCATAGTTAGAAAGCCACAAAAATTTTGAGAGGTAGAGGTAATAGTCTGCTTTTTGCATGTTATTAGTCTGTTCTTTAGTGCATTATTTAATTAAAAATAAATTATTTAATGCACTACTACCATTATTATAAAAAATGTAGGGTTAACTATCATCGAAAATCGACAGCAAGAAAAAAAGAAGATTGGGCAAGTAATTTATTTCTTCTTTTTCATGTTTATTTATTATTTATTATTATAAAATTAACTAAACTGTAAAAATAGATATCTCTTAAGGTTAGTTAAGGTTAGATTAGGTAATATAAACAATAATAAAAATATTTCACGAGGCACTCACATGAGCAGCACGGAGTAGCTCATGGGTAATGTAATTCGATATCGTAACATGAGCTGCATGTTCCGAAGTGATTTACAACTTATAATGGTACGAATAGTGCTTAGACACAGTTCAAAGATCAAAAGGGCAATAAAACAACAAATTTTAATTACAAACAGATGTATGCTGTCACAAGTTTAAAGCTACTTAGGATAAACAAATGTAGTTTCACGCTACATTTGAAGTCATTCTAGAAAGAAAAGGGAGGTAATTTAGATTTATTTAGATTGGGGGGGTACAAGGTCAGTCAAATTGACCAACCAAGTAACACTGGAAATCTGTGCAAAACGTTATATAATTACACTGCTATTTTAAGAATATTTTCAATTAACAGTTGGAAAATAAAAATAAAACAAAACCCAAAACTTAATATCTGAATATAAAATTGTAAGGTATTCCTCTAAACACAAATGACTGGTAATAAAAAGTGCTGTCCACTTACAAGTGTCAAGTGCTACAAGAGAGTCATCAAAAGTTTCTTCTTGCTCTTCTCTTTTTATAGTTGTTGGCGAGCTTTGTAAAAAAGTTAAATTTGTCATAAGTACCTTCTTAATATATATTTGGACACCTTTTGAGAAGTAATAATTATAAATACATAATTAAGTGCTTTTATAAATGCGAATTAGATGATTTTGGTAAGATCATTGTTTACACACAAAAAAAGAGCTTAATTTCAATAATTAAACCAACTTATGCTTTACTAATTTTACAAATAATGCAACACTTTTTGTTAAGCAAAGGTTTTCTCTAGATATAGTGAAGGGTAAGATGAAAAAAGAGATCATGTATGCTGCAAAAAATTAGTAGAAAGTTGATAAAATCTTTCAGCTTATCAGAATAATTCAGTTATTGTTAATTATTTAAAATACTATATGTAATTTCAAATTTCAATAAATGCCTTTAAATTAAGGTAGAATAAAATAAAGGATGTACTTTTTTCTATCAACAGATGTGGATATGAATGAAAACAAATAAGGTAGGGTGGATCTGTGTGTGTGTGTGTATGTATATATATATATATATATATATAGTTGGGGGGGGGGTATTCCACTGGCTTTCACACTAAAGGCAAAACATGAATTTACTAGTAAATAAATTGTAGAAAAGTAATAGAAAAAAGCTAACAGTTATCAACATTGGTATAATGACAGGCAAAAATTCTTAAACTGAAAGGCAAAAAGAGCTGGATTCAAGTGATAAGATAAAACAGAACACACAAATGTGTGTGTGAAAACAAAAACTGTCTTCCTTGTGTTACCAGTCTTGAAGATAAAATATTTATACAAATACACACACATTGAATGATACTACAAGACAGAAATGACATCATACTCTTCATAGCCAGTGGCTAATAAAAGTAGAAAGAGTACCTTCAGCATGCTGCATAAAGCAACAGGCTAAAGTTTGGCCAACATCTGAAGACACGAGTTTTAATTGTGGTAGCATGAATACAAATTACTGATTAATAATAAAAACAGAAATATATAGTAAAACTGACTTCCTTGAGGTGATGTATTAAAACACAAATAAGAACCAAAACCTTAGGTTGCAGTTAATCTAGATATAGCAGGATGAAGTTAAATCAACACCAGTAAGAGATACAACTTTATGTTGCAGTTAACCTAAACATAACAGGAGAAAGTTAAAATAACACCTAAAAGAACTACTAAGTGTTGTTTAAGTCCTGATTCATTTTCATCACAATCTCTATGGTCAATGGCTTACACTCTGGAGAAATAATTCATCATTAAAGTGGCTGATGAATCTTAGCATTCATTTGGCTACAAAAACAGTCAAAAATACTGTCCTTCTGGCCATGTTTCTCTTCCACTAAACCATCCAAGCCACACTTAATAAAAATGTTTGTTTGCCCTTGCCTGACTCTGTCCAAGACAGTTAGAAAGGTAAGAAAGCCCCCCTCCTTTTTTTGCCTTTAAGTGCTATCCATAGTTCCTTTCAGGATAACATGTACAGAACAATGACAGAAAGAAAGAAGAATTAAATACAGTTAAGCACAAATTTTAATGGCATATCTGTTCAGTTCATTTAAACTACATGTTAAACAATGGTTCCAGAAATACCAAGAGCATGAAACTTTTAACAATATCTATTCAATAATATACTTCTTTGAACAGGGAAAATACATGTTTCTTCAACCATTTATGTATTTTACTGATAAAGTGTAGTTCAGTTAGCAGAATAGATGGTGCATACCCATAAAAGATACAATTCAGAGCCCTGCCAGATGACATTCATTGACTTACATTTTTATGTTGGTTGTTATTCTTCTATTTTGACATTTATTTAAAATTAAGTAACATATTTGTGAAAGAAAAAAAGGGTCAAGAAGAGTTAATATACATTTTGTTTCTATCTTTCAGTTAGATGTACTGATAATTAGTTTGTTGAATGATTTTTAACTTTCATAAACATTCACATGTAAATATTTAACCAAGCTCCTTTTTTCACCAGCTACAAAACTACACAACTTTTTCTAGTAACTATTGCAAGAAGTAACACAAGATTAAATGAAGCATATTTTAACCATATTAAATTCAGTTTTTGTTTCTTTCTGGGTACACCAATGCTGTTATATGTAATTAAACATACTAAACTAGTTAAATGTTTTTCTTTCTTTCACTGAAAGTAAATGAGTTAAATAAATAAAAATTACGGATGCTTATATACAGAAAAGTAAATAAGACACCTAGTTTCAAAAGCAAAATGTAATAAAACTTTGTAAACCCCCAGAGAACTGTTTTAAATTCAGTAACAGGGTACAAAACATTTAGTTACATTTACAATAAATTTTAACTAAGTGAACAGCATATGCATTCCCTCCTTTCATTTGAAGAAATATAAAACAAATAAATTACTTTGATACAGGCCTACCCTTATGGCCCATACCTGCGATGGCTGCGCTCATGGGAATGTCTGCGATGCCTATCACGAGAATGAGATCTTGAGCGTGATCGAAAGCGTTGATGGTGAGAACGTGGAGATCTGGATCGACTTCTATTCCTTCATCATGATAAAGAACATATAACAAAATCACAAGAGTAGGTGTCTATTATTATAAATTGTGGCAAGATAGTATACGATATGACTAGGAGGGTCTTCTCTAAAATAAACTGTATATTCAACTGAAAGTAAACTTCTAGGAAATTTATGCCCATTTCAATGTATAATAAATTACTCCGTTCTAAATAAGACCGTTTTAATGACATTACTAAAAAGTTCTGCTTTACTTTAATTAGTAAACTAAATAACTTATTCTGACAAATTGAGCTAAGACAAACCAACACATTTAGAAAACTTGGACATCACTGCACCTCACATTTCTTCATGTTTACACCCACCTTCGAGCACGGGAATGCTTCTTATGACGTTCGTAGGAACGTGATCTTGAGCGAGAATGCCTTCGTTGTCGAGGTGATCGTGATCTTGATCTGTCTCTGTATCTTCAGTAAGACATGTTACACACTACAGATGACTTATTATAATCAGTTTTATATTTCTCATTAAAAGAAATTGTCTTTTGATTGATTTAAGTAATAACAAACTGTTAGTTGTCTCCAAGATAAAACCACATTTTAAATCTTTCAAATTCTGTCAGTTTTTGAAACTATTGTTTGTATGGAGATGACGAACACCAGTGCTAAATTCCTTTTCCAATCATTTCTACTTTCTTTCACTCAAGCAATATCAATTTAAAAATATAATATAAAACTTATGTTTTTAAAAACTTGAAAACAAGTATTTATTCCCATACTATTACATGCACTCAAGTTTTAAACAGAATCCCATGATGCAGCCAACGCACAAAGTTCAGTTTCATGATACTGAGCTGTAATGTTTTTTTTTTTTTTGAAAATTTATCACAGGAGGGAATACACTGACTGACATAGAAAATAAACAACAATTTCCTTTTAATTAAAATTACCATTACCACCTCACCTATGTTTAGCTTCTGGTGATCCAGACCTTTTCCGTTTCTCCCCATGTTTCTGTTCACCTAATATATATTATAAACAGTAACAATAAACCAGAGTTCCATAACTTTTAAGCTCACAAATGCTGTATATAGTTGGTTATGTAGAATTGGTAATAAGTTTTCATTAAAATACTTAAAAAAAAACAATATTTTTGCAAACAACAACTTTCTGCAAGATCTAATCTTGTACAATGATGACAACTTTTTCAACCTGTAACAATTTACTGTTTTATATAAGTAAAAAAATTATAAAAAAATTATTTTTTACTAACAAGTACATACTACTATTTGTAATAGTCTGGCCCATTAAAATTACTGCTAACATATCAGCTCTTTAACAGAGTATAGAAATCTCTATTTCTAAAAAGCATAATGTAAGAGATTAAACAATATCCTGGTTTGACATAGTGTATGTTGTTTGCAAGAACTCACTTACCTGCTTACTACTCTTTGCAAGAAGAATTACACTCAAGTTGCATTCTAATTTAATTAAACTAAATCCTTTACATTGACTGAAAAAAGCAAGAATTACCTGTATATTACTTCAAATCAAGTTTTCATTTTAATCTAATGAAAATTACATTATATTTAATCACAGTTAAAACAAAATAGATATATTGTAAATATGAATATCTTACAAAACAGCAATATACTACAGATGTATACAACCTGACAGTTAATTTTTTACCTGCCAACGATAACATCAATTTGCTCTTTTAAATTTAATATGCTGAATATGAAAATAATGATGTCAGATTAACACTGTTACACTCCTAAATGTGTGATTTCACTAGTGTAATTACAAATGCAATACCTAAATCAAAGTTCAGAACCTTAAAAGCCTATATTTCACACTTCTCTGTTAGCTTCAAAATAAACCAAAATATAACAAAAACCTTTCTTTTTACTTTAAAGAGAGCAGCTCATGAACATTTATTTTTGTTATAACTTTTGAAATTTACTACTTAAATTTAGGTGTCATTTCAAGTTTTAACTATTTCTAAAAGCAAACCACAAAACTACAAATCACCTGATAAACTTAATGAATGCATTTCTAATAGTTCTATCTTCAATATCTACAATTCTTAAAACTTTATAACTTATTTATGTCCCTGAAGAAAAAAGAAAATGAAGTTTACAAATTATACTGAAGTAAAACATTCCTATACACTACGTAATGAAAATCAAATTTCAAAGGCACTACGCAGCCTATTAATAAATATTATTAGTAAATAAACACCCTCAAGAATGCAAATTACTCACCATGATGTTATTTGTAAAGAACCATAGCTCTTACAATTACAAGTATAGCTCAGTAATGATCAAAGAATACAAACAGTTATGCTATGAACAAAAGGTTTCTAGAAATTAACTGTATTTTCACGAGATCACATAGCTCAGTAATAAGATGGTGGTCAAAGTCCACAAAAAACTGCCATATCACTTACAATACATTTTCCAATGTCCTTATCCAATGTTTTCACAAGGAGTGGGGTGCAAAATCACAGATCAAGATTTCATATTTGCTAAATATGACATGTAATTCTGTTTCTGATTCAGCTATTAAATATTAATAACAATTTTGCACTCTTTTAATTCATGCTTGTTAATTTTATTAAAAAAATCATTCTTTCTGGAGTGGCTGTCTATTTACTTAATGATAAGCTATGTATATTATCCCATAAGCACGAAGTCATTGCAGAACCTTAGTGTTCCCCTGTCAGATGACCAATCACTTCAAAAATTGTATTAGTCTGTCCTTCCGCAACTGCTCTATCTCATAACAACTCAAATGAAGCCTGAATGGCAGTTGTTTTATTGGACTCACATTACTTGTGTCTATTAGATGACATGTTCATCTTACAAATGACTATCTGGTCCTACAAATACATCAGTGAATGCTAAGAAAAATGCACACTGGGTTTTTGTTCTTTGTTAGTTTACGCTTAGTAGCACAGTTCTAAGGAAGTTATGCATTCTCTTTGTACACAGTAAAGTTGCAGTAATGCCAGCTACATGGATGGTCTTTATCATTTTTACTTCTGTTACAATTCCACCTGGAAGGTAGACAGCCAAATGTCAATAATTATAATCAGCACCACCACACCACTATCACTTGGAGAGAAACAACTGTGTTTCATGCATCAGTTCTGCCACCACAGTAGATGACAACAACATGTTACACTAGGCATTAGCACTCAACAGAATACCACTTGCAGGTATGGTCAGTACAGGATGATCTTCGAACAAATCTGCAGTTCACCTGCTACACAAGAAACATTGGCTAGTATCTTTCATATCAATTCTTCTAAGAGCTTATGAGTAAAAGTAAAGAAAATATTATGATCTATCAACCACACTACATATGCATGTTCTGACGAGGCCTTATTCCCAATACTAGGGCTCATCAGTCTGGTTGAGATACGACAGATATAGTAGTGGTGTAGGCATTATTTATATCATCATTTTCATTAACACTGACTGTTATGGTGTGGACTATTGTATTTAAGCCACTTCATCCCAAAGTTATTAATGCCTAAAATAAAATCAAAGACAGCTACTTGTTCAATGAGCAAGAGTGCTAAGACAAAGTTTGGGAAGTGTCTCTCTCCATCCACATCAAGCTTTTCACCATTTCAAAGAATATGAAGTTTACATTAATGTGATGAAGCAGTGGCTTCAATTGAAATGACCGATTCACAAGAAGAATAACTAAGGTACAAGTTGCTTCAGTGAAACTAGAAACTCAATGCCATGACCTTCTCCAAACAAGCTACTATTTATAGAAGTCCTCTCCAGTATATTAGAAAAGATCTTGAACTTCGAAGATTTCAATGGGGATTTCGGCAAAACATTTATTACAACAGCTGAGTAAGTTAACCCAACTGAATATTTTAATTAACTGGAGTAACAATTGGGTAATACCAAAATTCATCAAAGTCACGTGTAGTGAAAAAGGAAGGCTCATATCTTCTGAAAAAAACTAAAACTATTAAAGATCAAGAAAAAGGAAAAAAAAGAAGTGAAATTTCCAAACTAGCAGCTACTGTCTATACAAGTCACCTCCAGTACATTAGGGAAGATCCGGAATTTGATTAAGATTTCAGTAGTCTTTGGTATGAAAGTTACTGTTGGAGTAGAATTAAAAAATAAATTGAACAATATAGTAAACAGTTGTATATTAAGTTTAAATCTTTATACAAACCTAAGAAAAATTAAACTTCTGAAGTACTGCTACTATCTAACCCATAAGTTGTTAATAAATCTGATGTTAACCTTACATATATGCAAATGAATGTACTAAGTTTAGGCTTAAATTTCACTGCAACTCCACAGATTATACCCATTAAAGTTGTGGTAATTAATATTGAATCTAACATTGCACATATTAAACTTAGTAAAATAAAAACTATTACCAGAAATCAATGTCACGATACAGTGTCTAAATGAAATGTTAAAATGAATAGTAATTTGACAAAAGAAAAATTAGCTTTACGGTCCTCAAAAAACAACAATATTGTTGTTACACAAGCTGATAAAGAAGGGAGTTTTATGGTGATTATATTTCCAGTGTAGATCAGTTGTTAGATTATAATTCTTATATTCCCCTTAAAAGAGATCCAACAATAAAATTTCATAACTTAATAAAAAAACATGTTGATCAATGTATAACTTTGTCACCTGAACAAAAATGAACCCAATTCCAATTCATAAATTAAATAACAGCTTCAGGTCTATTGTATCTAGTATAGGTACCTCATCTCAGTATGTTACAAAGAACAATGCTAAAAGATTTTCGTATTTCAGTAATAAGAATAAATATACAATTAGAAATTCTGCTGAATTTGTTGAAAAAATTAAGGATATTAATTTAGATCCTTCTGACAAATTGATATCATTTAATATAGTTTATTTACTTACTAAAGTCCCAGTAGAAGATGCTATTAATTGTTTTCATGATAGATTAATTCAAGCTTCTATTTCCCTGGTTAAAATTGTTGACATTATTAATATACTCTGAGTATGTGCTGAATATTTTTTTTGCAAGTTAAGGAGAAATATTATGAAAAAAATATTGGATTAGCCATGGGTTCTCCTTTTTCTCCACTCTTATGTGATCTTTTTGTGAACAATGTTGAACACATTGCTCTTGATAATAAAATTTTAAAACCTAATTGTTGGATTAGATTTGTTGATGACACCTTCTTGGTTTGGAGATACCGAATTATAAATATTTACTATTTACCTAAATAACGTTGATCCCTCTAAAGCTATCCAGCTTACATATGTAACTGAACAAGATAATTGTTTATCTTTCTTAGACATACATGTAAAAAGAAATAATAATGGAACTATTTCTACAACTGTTTACCGAAAACCTTACTCAGTTTCCATGCCGCCACATCAAAGATCATGTCACTCATTTTCTCAAAAGTTAGTAGCTTTTCATACGTATATAAACAGAGCATTTAAAATTTGTTCCAATCCCAATGATTTAAAAAAATGAATTACATTATATAAAAGTCACTGCTAATGATAGAGGTTATACTGTTGATATAATTGAACGTTTCATACAAAGAAAATACAATTCAAATTTAACTAAGTAATGCACTAGGTTAAACAGAATTTATGATAAGAAAAGAAATAATATAGATACTAACATACGTAAACGTGTATAACTAGTCAAGTTGCCAATGTATTTAGAAAACAATTTTTTTCCCATTTTTAATACTTCCTAGCAGTAAAAGATAGATTTTCTATGAAAAAATGGTATGTATAAAATTATATGTGAATGTAACAAAACATATATTGGCCGAACTAAAGGTAATTTGAAATACCGCATTAATATGTTAATTTCCCCACTGGCTGAACACATTGCAGAAACAGGCCAATCAATACAGTGGCGTACAGCAATAATTTTAAATGAATCCAATACAGTAAACAAGTTTCATATCGGAGAAAACCTTCTTCGGTAAGTTCGTGTCATTTCAGCAAAGCCCCTTTAAATTTATCATAGTCCATGATATCTTCTGACATCATGCCTACATATACTTGTAGGCCTTCTCCTCTGAGAAGTGGGCTGAGACAGACTGCCAAGTCACCTTTGTCCCAGTTCTGACTTTGATCGAATCTTTCATATCTCTCCAGGAAAGCATCCATGACATCTTTATGTTCATCAAATTTTGGCAACTTGGGTTGGCTGGCCCCGACTCCATTTTCATTCTTGGGTCCTTCTTCCTTTGGTTGGGTGAGCTTTGCTATCTCAATTTGTTCTCTTATTCTAGTCTCTCCTCTCTCTTTTCTTCTTTCTCAACTTGTGCTTTCATTCTCTCTCTCTAACTATTTCCAATCTTTCTTTTCTCTCCTTTCAGTCTTTTTTCCTCTCTTCTCTGTTGCTGCTCTTCTCTCTATAATTCTTGTTGTTGTTTAACAAACTCTCCTAGTTCACTGTCTTTTAATCCAAGATAATATCTTCTTTCTATCCATTTATCAAAATCTGTCATGGTTATATAGCATGATTGTAATCTCAACACTATTTCCAATCTTTCCTTTCAATCTTTCTTCCTCTCTTCTCTGTTGCCACTCTACTCTCTCTAGTTCTTGTTGTTGTTTAACAAACTCTCCTAGTTCACTGTCTTTTAATCCAAAATGCTCACCTCTTTCTATCAATTTATCAAAATTTGACATGTTTATATAGCATGATTGTAATCTCAACACTATTTTTGCAATACTACTACAGTCGTGTATATATGTATATATATATATAGGCCTACATATTTCTACTGTCATTCACATTTTCTTCCACCGCCATTTACCACTGTATAATTCTGGTTGGCTTGCCAAATGTAAGAAACTTGCTTTTTAGTAGTATATATAGTAATGTAAATATATGAATGTAATGGGCTAAAAATTCTTCTACAGTAAGTGTCTGTGACTTGGTGGTGGTAAATTCGACAACAAACAAACAGCACACACACTCCAATTGTTTCAAATAATATATATATATATATATATTTGAAACAAGTTAAACGTATGTACAAATTTCTTTACACTATGGAGATCATAGTTGTATCTTATACATTATCCAGTTCCCCTCTTCTTTTCAAAAGATGTATCCTGAACTTCCAATAATCGTCTGCCTTTTTGTCAAAGTCCACACAGAGGCAGGTTCGATTAGTTTAGAACACCCTTTGACAAGACAAATTATTCTCCTTATCTCTTTCAAACTGTTAATCTCACTCTAACATATCAATCATTAGGCCATTCACTCCCATGATGGTTAACTTTACATTTTTTAACTTTTCTCTGACCGAACTTCTCTTTCACATGGCTTTACTTTTACTCTGTTTACGCTCATCTGGTCACAGCTATTTATGCATCTGTCACTTAGGCCTTCTAAAAATCTCCATAGCCTCAACATCAATGAATTAAAAATACAAAATTAATTAATTAATAATACTACCTACACTAAACAGTTTTATATCTGACATACTTCAATGCTAGGGTTAAAACCATGTAATGTTCTGACAATGATAATATACCTTGACCAAAAATATATATTCTGTACAATTTTTATTAATTATTCAGTGTAAAACTGTAAAATTTAGCATCATAAGAAGCACTGCCATATGAACAAGTACATGAGTTGTAGTATCACTGTTAAATAATATTTGTTGAGAATATAGGAGAAAATTGTTGATTAACTCTTTCAGAACAGGCTCAGTCCCTGAGACCAACCTCGTGACTATTTTGTGCTTGTTACAGTTTTCATGCTATAACTTCTAAATTAGTAAGCGAATGTTAATGAAATTTGGCAGCTTATCAGTAAACATTAAAATACTTTCATATGCAGAATATCAAATATTTTTATTAAGTCTTTAAGGGCTGTAAAGTAATGTTTTTCTCATGCCTTTTTCTTTTTGCATATTGCCTATCATGCAAAGTAATATTCATTTTAAGATTAAAAATAC